AAATCTGTCCGTCATGTGGGGGCAGGAGTTAAAGTCATCTCAGCTGCCTGGAGCTAGGTTGTCCAGAATTCGAGCCACGGACCCCAGGGAGCTGTTTGCCCTTAAGTTAACTAAAATCAAATAAAAATTAAAATCCAGCTCCTCAGCCAAACTTGCCACATGTCAGGTGCTCAGTAGTGGCCCATGGCGACTGTCATGGGGGCTCCAAACCTCAGGCATCCATCCCACGGGAACTGGCACAGGATGGAGTGGCTTTGAAAGCTTCTGCCCAGTTCACAGAACTTCCAGTTCCATTTAATTAAAGCAGATGTTCTTCTTTATGGGAAAAACACAGGTCTGATTTTCAAGTTCCTTTCTCAAAGACAGAGTTCATAGCTTGGTGCCTCAGCCCTTTGTCCTTTTTGCCTGAATCTCTTCCACCATCGCCTTGACCTTGGGCCTGAGAAATTCAGGTACTCTGGGTAGATAATGGGGAGAAGTTTGGACTGGAGGGCTAGGGAATGAAACTATATCAATGGACAAATCAACAGGAGAAAAGGCACCCAGGTTTTATTAATTCTCACGTGCATGGAAGTTCACAGAAGGAAGTGGAACACAAAGATGCAGACGCTGGAGGTGAAGAGACCACGTGAACAGGGCAAAGGGGTTTGGGCTTTGAGGGACACTCAGTTTTGGGAAGTGACTGGGAAAGATGTGGGGAAATGAATGGAAGGTAAAGGTTATTTTAGTGAAGTCTGTTTATGCAAACTTACCCTGGTGTCAACTCCCATCCTAGAAGTGAGCGCTTCTCTCTTCCTGGTATTGGGGGTCACCTTGAAAAGAGAGATTTTACGCCCAGCCTCTAAGGCAGAGAAGGAGAGGACAGGAAACTTTTCCTCCTCTGTTGGTTCTCAGTTGCTTTGAGCTCAAAATAGCTCCTTATGCCAAAGTGGCCTACTTTGGGGTGCCATGTTTGGGGTGAGTGGGGATTGCTCAGGGCGGGCAAAGTCCTGGATATGTGTCCGGGGACAGAGAGTGAGGGTGTGGCAGCAGCAGCAGCTTGGCTGTGGTGAAGGCCTCAAGGCAGATGGTGTCCCCAGGGCAGGAAAGCATCCAAGAGGGGGCATCGAGTCCTCAGACCGGAAGCCAGAGGGAGAAGGTCTGAGTCCTTCCGGGGAGTCCTTCCGGGCCATGCCTCCGTTATGCTGGGAACCCCCACTCGGCCCCACCCTGGAGGGTTCCACACTGCCTCCCAACTCAGCCATCTGGGTGGGCACCAGGCTCCCAACCATGAACCTTTGGGGTAGCAGTCCCCAAGCTTTTTGGCACCAGGACTAGTTTCCTGGAAGACAATTTTTCCACACATGGGGCAGAGCTGGGGGTGGGGTGGGGGATATGATGGCTTCTGGATGATTCAAACAGCTCCCTCCCACCTGCAGCTCTCAGTGGGGTCCGCACTCCTGTGAGAATCCAGTGCCTGCTGATCTGACAGGAGCTGGAGTGCAGCAGCCAGGCCAGGGCTGGAAACACAGAGGAAGCTCTGCCGTCCTGCTGGCCCGCTCACCTCCTGCTGTTTGGCCCGGGCAAACGGAGGCAGCAGCTTCTCCCTGATCTTATGGTGGAAAGGAGAACAGTGTTCCTCCCTGGCAGAGGACAAACTCACTCCCCTCAGTGGCACCAATCCTACCACGAGAAGGAGCCCTTGCAACTTCATCGACTTCCCAACAGCCCTACACTCTTGTGACCCTCACACGTGGGGTTAAGTGTCCCCGTATGATTCCAGGGAACACCAGCACTCAGGCCATAACCGAACCCTCACGCATGGGAGATTTCCCTCTTCTGCTCTGGTTGTTTGTTTATTTGATCATTTGTTTACATCCACATGGACTCAGGAATACTTGTTTTTGGATGGGAAGGCCCACTGTATATTGTCACTAGATTGTTCCAACTTTGGCCTTTTCCCCCTTCACTTTTGTTTTGTTTTGCTTTTTTGAGACAGTGTCTTGATATGTAGCCTAGGCTAGTCTTGAACTCCTGGCAATCCTCCTGCCTCAGCCTTCCAAGTGCTGGGATTACAGGTGTGCATCACCATACCTGGTCCTCCTCACACATTTGTACACACACATTGTAACTTAACTGGAGTTTTCATCTGTACACCCATTTCCGTATTCCTCCAACAGACCTAGTCTGGAGTCATCCCCCCACCCCGCCTTCTTTCTCGGCCTTAGCTGATCTGTCCCCTCCTGCTTCCCCGCTGATAATCCTTACACGGCAAGCTTCCTGCCCGACTCCTCTGTCCCCACTTTCTCCAGGGATCACCCTCAGCTCCTGTAATTGAAGCTTGCCCCTCCCCGAGACCCTAGGGTGAAAACTCATTACGCCCTGTTTCAGCCCAGAAAGGGTCCCTGACTTGTGCCAGGGACCCTGACAAGGACTCTGGCTGTGTCTCCAAGGGCCCCTGGCCTCTCCCAGGGAAAGCACGGAGAGAGGGAAAAGAGGAGCTGGATGGGGTGAAGCTGTAGGGAAGCAGAGACAGGCAGAGGTCGGGCCAAAGGGAGCTGAGCAATGGGGCTGAGGCATGGAGGGCTGGGAGAGACCCTGCGGCTGGTGCCCCCAACCTGAGCCTGGCTGCCACCTCTCCCCTGAGCCCAGTGCACTTGCCTTCCCCGGCCAGTCACTTCCCCAGGCAGTGTACAGTGTTGACCTTCTGGGTACTGCCAGGCCAGAGTCGCTGACAGTCGGAAGAATGGGGCCCCTCTTCTGGTTCCCTTTGCCCAGAGGGCTTCCCTTTGTTCCTCTCTCTCACTGACAGAAGCAACTTGGGGTGCCATGACCTGGAGGGGCCCCGAGCTGATGCTGCTCCCTTTGCTGCTGGTGCTCCTGGCCTCAGGTGAGACAGAGGGGTCCAGGATGAGGGTGGACGGGGGCCAGCTGTGCCCACAGGACTGGCTCTGGGGCCACGTCTGGCTGGGGCATCAGAAGTGGTTCCCTCTCCACTTTTCCCAGCCCTGGGAGCGGTGGCCCGGCCAGGCTGTGACCGAGGGAGGACTTGTTGTCCAGGTTCTAGGGTGTCAGCAGCAGTGCCCAAGGAGCTGCATGCAGTGGTGGGACAGACACTGTCTGTGCGGTGCCAGTACACACCCCAGACAGGGCCCTACCTGAGAAAAAGCTGGTGTTGCCAGACAGAAGAGAAGAGGTGCTCCAGGGTGGTCACCACCTCCCAGCCCTGGACGACAGTGGAGGAGCTGCGATACACAATCTGGGATGACCCCCATGCTGGTTTCTTCGTCATCAACATGAGTGACCTGAAGGAGGACAACTCGGGAAAGTACTGGTGTGGAAACTACAATGTCTCCATAAACACGATCTTTATTCTCAGAAACATCACCCTGGTGGTGTCTCCAGGTGAGACTTCCTTGGGGAAACGCCCCTAGCAGAGGGACTCAGGCTGGGCTCACTCATCCCTGGCCCGTGGCTCCATCACCTAATCCTGCCAGGCAATTCTGCTTGGGTCCAAGGGCAGAGAGGAGCCCTGTCTCAGAGATGGGTTTTCACTTCTGCTCTACCTGCCAGTCCCGGTCCCAGCTTGGGGGGAGACCTATTCAAGGCTTGGGGACAGGAGTCTCACTCTCCATGACCACAGGTAGGTCTGGGGTCTCACATGGGGGAGGAGAGAGGGATGGCCAGGCAACTTGGGGGACCTTAGTGTCAGGAAAGGAGAGAGTAGGAAGGCCTGCGGTGGGGTGGATGTCCTGGGCCGGGGCTGTGGGAAGCACATCAGGGCATAAGACTCAGAGAGATAAATGTGCTTTCTCTGATCTCATCCTGAAACTGGCCACATTCCTACATGTGAGTGCAAATCTTTCTCTCCTAAATGGAATTGCAGTTAACCAGAATATATTGCAAGATAATAAAACTCCCCATTTGGGGCTTACCTCATATGAATCTCCTATCTTGGTGGTATCTCCAAAACATTACAAAAAGTACAAAAGTGAGCTCATGGTCTCACAATATAAAAGAACAAAATCAGGAACCAAAAGGAGGTGGTCAGGAGAGTTTTATTGAAAGTAATAATAATAAGAATAGCTCCTGGATTTCCAGGAAGGGCCCCGAGTGGGTGGCTACGAGGACCCTCGACCCAGAATTTCTTATAGATAAGCAGAGCATGGGCACTGCTCAATTGTTTAATGTTCACCTGTCACAGGTGCCTCAAATGACCAATGGAAACTCAGGCTGTCTGACCCAGTTCCTCCACATGTAGGGTTTAAAGGAAACTGTGGTTTTACAGAAAAACTGTTTATTCTGCTTTTAAATTCCTGGAAACTCGGGGGAGCTTAGTAGGGAGGACCTGCAACTCCCTTTCTTAGGGAAGGGGCTGCATTCTGTGCTGCCTGAGGAAGTTTATTCTTGGTCAAAAGTCCTAGATCACTATCTATTCTTATTTTAATTCTTATCAATATGGTTGGTCACCCAGCTCTATCTCAGGCCCTTTCCCTAGCTAGCTGCCTTATTCATAAGCTAACTAAACTATTTTTTACATTTTGAATATTATGCAATGTAAACATGTATTGAAACATCCTTTGGTACCACATAAATATGTGTAATTTTAAGTACTAGCTCAAAAGATGGAAGAAAGAAAGAAAGAGAGAGAAAGAAAGAAAAAGAAACAGAACTTAGGCCCAGTTACCCAGTTACCCCTGGTCTGGGACCCTGAGGAGCTGGTTCTCTCCTTTCTCTACTCCCTCTTCTGGTCCTGGAGACCCAAACTCATGCTCTGTTCTGGTTCTCTGAGCAACCTGTCTTTTCTGTGTCCTCCTAGCTCTGGTCGCTTCTCCAGAGGGGACCCCTGGGCTTTCCATTAATGGGTCTGAGCACAGGTAAGACAGGTTTCACATGGAAGGAAGATCCTGGGAAGGGGTGGCCGGAGAGTGCATGGAGCATCCTTTGAATCAGGGAGGGCACTTCAGCATTTTTTGGAGGATGGCTGGGCACAGTGTACAGCAGAGGATCTCTCATGGCCCAGACTCAAAGTTGGGTAGAGAGGAGAAGGATTCAGGTCATTAACTTTGGAGGAATTATAGAACTATAGACATTTAAACATGGGTCTCTGAAGGGGACAGAACAGAACCTGAGAAATATGGGAAGTGGAGGCCATGCAGGAGTGTGTGGAGAGTGACCACATCCTGGGGCAGACAGTGGAGCAGACTTTTAACTTCTGCTCTTGACCCTTGCAATCGGGGGTACTGAGGCCATCATGGCCTTCTCTTTATAGAAAAAAAGGATAAAGTGGCCTAGGCCACAGGTGCTTTGAGAACCATGAGGCACAGCTAAGGCAGCCAGCATTTGAGGGAAATAGATGGCCAGCTTCCTGGAAACTCCCTGGTCTGCCCAGCTCAAACTCCAGACTACGGAGCACCTCCCAATGAGTTTAAAGATAGAGCCCTAACTGAGAGTCTGAGAAGGTAGCAGATGGGTTTACCTGGGGTCTCGTGTCCTAGGAAGGACTCCCCATACTTCTAAAACTCACTAGGTCAAAGGATTTATCCTCCAGCTCTTCACCACCAGACTGGGTACCTGATAAGGCCAGAAGAATGTGAGCTCTCAACCCCAAATAACTTGGCAGCTTAGAGGAACTACTGTATTAGAAGAATGACAATACACCAAGCACTGGAAACCACCCAAAGGACAGACGTGGGAACCAACAGTACAATGATTCTTAGTTAATATGATCAGTTCAGCTAAGGAGGTAAATTAACTATGAATCAAGAACGAGAACCACCAAACACCTGTGTGTGTAGTGGCACACACCTGTAATCCCAGCACTAGGGAGGCTGAGGCAAGAGGATTGCCAAGACTTCAAGGCCTCAAGGCCAGCCTGGGTTACATAGTGAGACCCTGTCTAAAAAAAAAGTAGATCAAGCAACTCAACCCTGCCAGAAATGCAAGAAGAAGTAAGTGGCTTACAGGTGTAGTTGGAGAGTCACATCTTCCTCAGAAGATGGAAGACCAATGAGACTAAGAGTAAACAGAAGAATCTAAGTTCTAAACCCGGTAACTAAAAAATTCCAAGTATTATGCCATTTATATAATATTGACAAATATACACATTATGATACCTATTTATAGGAATATATTACAAATCTTTTTTAATATTTTCAAATATGTATGTACATGTTGAAGATTTTTTCAACTATATATAGATATTTAATAAAATGCATTATGTATAAATACATATAAACTGTATAATATGCATACACATAAACATACACATATCAAACATGCTGCATACATATAATGTATATTCCTCAAATACATAGAGAACATTTATAAAGTAGACATAAAAGAAACTTGAATAATTCCAAAGAATTAATGTGATACAGAATATATTCTCCAAACATAGTGCAACATAATTAAGAATGAATGAGAGGGGCCGGGGATTTAGCTCAGTGGTTCCGCCAGTACCTGCTTTCCAAGAGCAAGCAAAAGTAATATTTATTAATATATTTTAATGTAAATTATTAAAAGTATAATAAAATATATTATGATAGTAGAAACATTACCTAAAAAGTATGAGGCATAACTAATATTTAGGGGGAAAACAATACCTTTAATTAAATTTGTTGGAAAACATAAGGGGTTAAAAATTAGTTCAAGAAGATAGAAAATGAGCAAGAGAACAGGCCCAAAGGTATATAAATATATATATAAACAATATATGAAGATATATACATATCTAGGTACCCAAATCTCTCAATATGAAAAGGTGAAGGCTGAAATAAATTAAATGGATTAAGATGGTGGAAAAAAAGGAAATCTATAAATGGTTCTTTGGAAAGTTGTGTTGTTTTTTTTTTTGGTACTGGGGATTGAATTTGGGACCTTGTGCTTGTGAGGCAGGCAGCAGCACCACTGAGCTAAGTCCCTGGTCCCAAGGAAAGTTTAACAAAATAGACATATTGCTGTTGCAATCAAAATACAAGATTTAAATAAATAACAAATTGAAGGGCAAATTCTTGTCT